ACAGTAGGGACGATACAATCTAGATTTGTTTCTCTTTTTTTTTTTGTTCTTTTGCTACAGTGAATTTGCAGGATAGAGAGATGACCGCAAAATTTGCAGATAAAGAGAGAGAGGGGACCCTGTTCAATTAATATTTTAATGTAGGCGTGCGTACGGTTCTAAGGGAAGGAATTATTCGGCCTATTCCGACCGGGGAGAACAGGCCATTCGTCAGGGAGATTCTGTGCATTCCATTTCGTTTTCTCGGTCAAATGAGTTGAAAAGAGATGTGTTATCTCGTACATATACAAATATTTAGAGTTTTAAGGTATATATACAATATTTTATTATTTGATTGGTACACAAGGTAATTATCTCTTACTAATTACCCTGTGTATCCTAGCTTAGTTATGTCTAAGCTAGCAGTTGGGCCCTCCCTTGCAAGCCCAAAGTCTGAGAGCTTTGGATTGAACTCATTATCCAGTAGCACCTGTGACGCCTTGAAATCCCGGTATATGACCTAATGCATTAGTTTAAACAAATGACAAAAACGAAAATGACTTTCGAAATTTAGACAAGGATCCATAAAAAAATAAATCAAAATAAATAATGAAAAAGGTAAACACCTGAATCTCTAAGTCTTGGTGCAGATATGCTAATCCCTGGGCTGCCCCAAGCATTATTTGCAATCTCCGATCCCATGAAAGGGCCGGATGGGCCCTGTTGAAAAGATGATATTCTAAGCTTTTGTTGAGCATATATTCGTAGACTAGCAGCCTCTGTATGCCTCTTTCTCCATCCACAGCACAGTAACCGATAAGGTTGACGAGATTCGGGTGGTCCACAACACCGAGAAACTGAACTTCTGCTACCCATTGTTTGTGCCCCTGATAGTGTAGTCACATGCAGTTTATCGAGTTCTCAAGGGAACAAGAGTTGTATAACTTTAGCTGTTTAAACAATGTGATAACACTAACAATAACTTCCTCATATACCTAATTTCCAGGAAACTGGCAGCTTCATGATCTACGAAAAGATAACGAACAAAAAAATTGCATGTTCTGTTCAAAAGTTATTTTCTTGGTCATTTACGTCGTCGGCATGCAAGAAAAGCAAAGTGCTAAAAGCACCTTAAAGTCCTGGAGCTAGAGCCAACAAGGTTCATCTAGGAGAAATTAATCACAACACAGAACAGCTAAAGAATCCAACATCTTGACCACATAAATCCTATTAAAAAAAAAAAAAAACTCTACCTGGACACAGAACAAAACTCAGGTTTGTAATCCGAAACAACCGACAGAAAATTATCCAATACTACATATATAAGTAATCGGGGTCTTGATGGAAATTTTCACCTAATCTCCATAATGTCTGCTGTGTATGTAATGTATGTAATGTGACCTCTCTCTCTCTCTCTCTCTCTCTCTCTCTCTCTCTCTCTCTCTCTCTCATTCATACCTCACATATTATGTACCGTACCGTCGTCGTACATGCTTTTTTTTTTTTTCTACAAAAACCACATCAGTACTCATCATGTCATATACTAGTTAGTGTGTCTGTGTCTGTCTATATATATATTTTGTAGTTTAATTAATTTGCATGCAGAAAATACAAAAGTATGAGGGCAGGCATTTGAGCTTGCTTGCTAGTGAGTTTTGCTAGTGAGTATGAGGACAATTTTGACTGTTGAGGTTTATTTACAACGTAATTAAAATTGTCCAAACTCAGGATGTCATGTGTGTGTATGAAATCTCTCTTTGCTCCCCATCTTCATAGATTCCTATCATATATATATAAATAAATTCGTGGAAAGGAAACCAATAATTTTTGTCCTACCTAATAATCTAAACAGAATTAATGGATGGTGTTACACAATAATGTGTTTTGATTACAAGGGGAACCTATGAACTGACTGAAGAGTTCAATTCGTACAATATGAACTAAACAAGAAATGTAAAATACAACTCGAGGGCGGACAGATTAAAGCCGAGGCGATTGAAATCTTTCCGCAAGACAAATACGCCCTGTATAGTGCTGATGGGTCTGTGCTAATGTCCCCAAAGATACAACGGCTATACACTCAGAAGCTGTAGCACACCAGTCTTCAGAGTTCCAGCGAACAGGAATAGAGACGAGAACTGAGCACTATGTATGCGTGAGGCTATGAGAGATGAGAGAGTTGAGAATACAAATGAGAATTTAATGTCTCGTTCAGTCGCTACTTTCCTCTATAACTCTATGTCCTATTTATAGGACTTCCACCTAGGTGGGGGATGACTCTTCATTTTGTAACTACTAAGCCATTAAAGGTCATTCATGGCTGGTTTTGATGACTATTCAAAATTTGTAACCACCAAGCTATTAACAACCTCCATGGCTTGTAACCACCAAGCCATTAACATTCATTCATGGCTTGGTTTTAATTGCAAAACGTTTCTGGTTTAACTCACCATTAATTCACCTCGTGACTCTTGAAACCGTTATGTGGTTGAAAGGTCACACATCCAGGTTCAATGTACCTGGAACGATGTCACACGGGTTGTGTCGAAACCCGAGTCCAAAATCAACTCAGTTTATATACCAACATTTGCTACATAACTTTGTTATTGTTGTGACCTCTTCAACTCTCTTTATCATAATATAGAGAGTTAATATCATTTAAGAGTTCTATGTGGGATAACACTTTTGACCATTCGAATCCAACAACCAACGTTTTGTGTGTCCATTTATGGTTAACTTTCACTCACCGAAAATCAATATTGAAAAATTAAATATACCACGAGTTTCTATTCGGAACGTAGAATTTTTTTTCTACACAATTTAATTCAATCCGAATTAAATATTTAGCCATCAACAAATCGGGTCATACCCAATTTTCTATTACTGATTTTCCAACAAATGGATGTTTGTAGTATTTTTGGGCAATTGGTAACCGAGTTACCCAGACTCGGGTCGTTCTCAAAGGAAGGCTATTCGGACACGGATTCAAGCAACAATCGACTCACAAGAAAAGAAAATAAAATCCTAAACATTCTACTCGCAATTTGGGGTTTGGATTAAGCTAAAGATGACAACTTTAAACTAAACGAAAGCAAGATTCAACATTAATTAGCAAGCAACACCTCAAATTGCAAGAAAAAGGAAAAATAAAGAAAAAAGAAAACAAGGTACTCCTAGACCCGAGATGGAAAGAAGGCCCTCATAGGTTCGGGAACAGGCAATCAAGCAATAGTCACTCGTGATCAATTAATTTGTCAATCAATTCTCGCTCACGCAATCAATAACAATATCACATAATCCCTAGCCTACGAGGATGATAGCATAATCGACTCATGGATGTGCCTATCTTAACCCTAGAATAACTCAATAAGTAAAGACAAGCAAGACTAACGAAATCATAAACCTTAAGCGAAGTCTCCACGCATCCACGAGAAGAATTAAGCCAAAAAGTTGTAATCTTGATGGAGAAATATTACAATTAAAAATAGGGTCTTGGAGCCCTTAGAGAGAGAGAAAGAAAGTTAGAGAGAAGGGAGAGAAAAATTAAGAAGAGAAAAATTTAGCAAAATGAGGAATTGTTCCAAAATACAAAGCAAGATGTCTATTTATAGATACACCACAAACACACACTAGAAACACACACATTTAATGAAATTCTGAAGTTCGCCGGTCTCGAAACGGTGTTCGCAGCGAGTTTGGGCATAGAGTAGTGCAGAAATGGGTGTTTCGCGGGTCGCCAACGGGAGTTCGCTGGCGAGTGTGGACTTGTGAGCTCGGGACATGCGTTTCGCGGGGCGCGAACTCAGGTTCGCCTGCGAGTGGCTGGAAGCTTGTGTGGAGCGCGCCTTTCGCAGGTAGCGAACGAAGTCTCGTGGCGAGTGCCTAGGGTGATGAGCTGCTGGCGCGCGGCTTCGCGAGTCGCCAGTTGTTGTTTGCCGCGAGTGGTGATGCTTGGGCCTGCTGCGCGTGCTGCTTCGCCGATCGCGAGTGAAATTTCGCAGCGAGTGCGGGGCTAGCTAGGGTCGCACCTCGCGCCACGCCAATCCGCTTTCGCAGCGAGTGGCTTCGGTACCATGGTGCATGGGTGCGGTTCTTGACTCCGCCTCTCGAGTAATGATCGGATGGTTCGAATGGTTCGGTCCATGGCTCAAAAATGGCACGAACGACTTGTCTCCCCGATAATTGCAAATTGGACCTACACAAAACACCAAAAGAGACGCGAAAATACGAAAAAATACAAAAACACATAACGAAAATAAAAACACACAAAACACGATAAAATGGACCGGATGACACAAAACCGAATTTATTACTAATATGTTAGAAGTTAGAAATTATTGTATTATAGATTAGAATTTATTGTCTTATGAATTAGAATTTATTGCTATTTTGTTAGAGGTTAGAAATTATTGTATTATAGATTAAAACTGATTATGTTATAAATTATCATTTATTACTATTATGTTAGAAGTTGGATATTATTATGGTATAGTTTAGAATTGATAGTCTTATGAAATAATATTTAGTACTACTATGTTAGAAATTAGAAATTATTATGGTATAGATTATCACTATTATAAATTAGAATTTATTATTATTTTGTTAGAACGCTTTTCCTATTATAATATTCACACGAATCATATAACTTTGAGAAAAGTGTCAAACAATCTTTTGTCATAAAATTCGGTCAAATCATATTGAATTAATCGGTCTCAATTAATTACTCTAACAAAATCTGATATTTTTCGTTCAATTTGTTATTTAAATTGGTATTTATGAATTTCAAATTTAAGTCAAAATATTATTTTGTATTTTAAAATTTATTACCGAGTTGAAAAGGAGCGGATTTAAGAAAAAATGGGAAATACAATTTTTAATAGCATCACTAATTAATATTTTATTAGAGATAATTAGTATTATGTTATATAACATAATAATAATAATAAAATTCTATAAAATAATTAGTTATAATTTATACTTTAACAATTTCTAAATTCTAACTATGAGATATTAAATTCTAATTTATAACATTAATCTAAATATTAATATAATGTATATAATTA